AGAAAGACAATGTAGAGTGAAGCATCTTCAAAAATCTCTCATTTTTATTTCTGTCTCCATTATATTCATTTGTTTTCAACCAAGAATTTCTGCTAAGCTCTGCTCTGCTCTCCGAGGCCTGGTAAGCTCTGAGTCAAAGCCTGATCATTAATGTACATTTCTAGTTCAGCACACTCTATTATGGATTGAGCTGTCATTGTTCCTAGTGTTAATGCGTTCCGCTCATGTATAATGGAATACAGCCGAGTCTTGAGCCAGAACCAGCTGCCAGCTGCATTACATCAAAAGCAGAATAAAGTAGAGAGACTGCACCTCGGTGAATATAATGCTTGTCACCTGCACGGCCAGGGCTAAATGCATCACTAGCGAGGGTCCTCCGGGCCTCCACAATCATGACATCATAACGCGCTGACTTTCAAAGGAGGTCACAATAGGGACTGATGAGCATAATGCAATGACTTGAATTTTGAGTCTATTGGTGTGTTTTTTCTCCCCTCTGAATTTCTGCGCTTAATTTTCTTCTATTTCCCATCAGCACAATTTCCATTATCCTGTAGCTTCCTGTTAAAACAGAGTCCTTGAGCCAAATTGAGTAAATCACAAATTCAGTGTGAGTTGTCTAACCACTTTATCAAAGGTCTAATAGTATGGCTTCAGGGGAGCTTGAACCAATCCCAGACACGTCTGAAGAGATTGTAATTTTTCTCCTGTTTGAAGCCTGCATTAAGAGTTATTCGATCATAGGTATAAGAGTAGGATTTGACATGTTCATGATGTTTCCATATCTCTGCAAGAAAAGCAATGTGACCTGGGCTGTGCGTGTTACATTTAGTCCAATCCCTCTCCACGCTGGCAGATGGTTCCTGTATGGGTGGTAGTAGAGTGGGTGTACTTTCCTGTGCTCATATGATGAGCCTGCAGAATTGTGTGGATAAGGTCCAGAGAGATCATATTAAAACTTCTTTGTCACTTCAGAGACAGCGATTGACTTCTGAAGCCACATTTGTAAGATGGTTTGCTGTTTGGTCTATTCTGTTTCCTCATAAAGACAAATGCACTCAAATGCCTTTTCAACCCTTTGTTTGAAGCACTGGATGGATATTTATGCAAGAACATGAACAACCAATAAAATCTATCATCTCCTGGGATGCTCATGTTAAACTGAACCATAAATATGCATAAATTGTTATAGACATGGTCTGGCGGGTATTGCACATTGTGAAGGGATACTATTTTCATGTTATGGCAGATGTTACAATTCTATACTATTTTCTCTAAATATAAATTTAAAATAAACAACCAATATTAATATCAGTCATTTTAAAATGTCTTTTATATTAAATTATTATGATTATAATAATTATATATTATAGTCATATAAATATTATTTTTTCATGTTATGTCTGTTAAATGATAAATAGCAGATATTAAAATCCTATAATATTTTCTCTACATACATTTAAAATAAAGCACTAAATACTGAAACACATTATAATTTACAGTATGAAAAATGGAAATTTATTCAGATTTGAAAAATATCACATTTAACAGTGTTATTATAATAATTATTATCTTATAATGATTTACATAAATGACATTGTCATTTATGACTGTTAAATTATACATAGAAGATATTAAAATGCTATACTATTTCCTCTAAATATATTTAAAATGAAACACTAAAAACTAAATAAATCATTTTTAAAAGCTACAGGTGAATTTAGGCATCACAATATTATAATGTACAGTATGAAAAATGGAGTTCATTTTGGTTTAATATCACATTTAACAGCGTTAATAAAATTATTTTTGGTCACACACAAATAAGTAGTCACTAATAATAATTAATAACATGGAATAATTATAGGTTAAGGGTTAGTGTCTAGTTTATCTTATTGGAATTACAAATAATTTACGGTTATTACTATAGTAAATACATGAAAAATATGTAACAAGGACATATTCAAATAAAGTGTTACCTTATTCTTTTTTTAAATATTAACTTGAAGTGAGTGTTAGATAACGGCAAAGGTAATCTAAATGAAAAATAAAAAAAATACTTAAACATGCTCAATTAATTATCCAATACCTATCCAAAGCTGAAGATACAGATACATTTAAAAATCACTAATATTAACCAAAGACTAATATGGTACAAATATATTGTGATACCATTACATAGCACTTATTAATAGCATTTATACAGATGTCTCGTGTTTGTATCCTGTTTGTATTCTGTATCCATGTTTCCTTTCACCTTTCGACTGTTTTGCTGATAAAAAGTGGCAAAATGATCCCCTTAACCCACAAAAACCATAAATAAAACACTAATCAGTTCTATAAACCTAATAAATCAATCCAGCAACGGACAATTTACAGCGTGATACATGGAAAAAAGATCAGAAATGAATAGCAAATGTGTCAGATTGTGAGATCAATAGATTCCTGGTCACATTTGTGTTTTGGTTCCCCCACATCTCCCCGTGTACATCGAGCATCTCTAAATGTAGCCCTGCACATCTCCTTAATCACTCTCACACCTGACACTCCCCCCGTCGTCATAGCAACATGATCCAAGTGATCTCTCTGCATCCTCTTGAGCGTTGCTCTCTTTTCTCTGAGCCAAAGTGAGATCTAATCAACATTGTGTGTGAACAACTAGTTATGCTGTTTAGCAATTCACCATAGGTGCTGCATGAATGTTTTGTGTACATTTAAAAAAAGAAGAACAGAAGAAATAGAAAAGGTATCCTTCATTACAAGCGTTTTTAAGAAAGATATGCTTTGGGGTCAGTTTATGAACAGAAGTTTTAGTTTGTAGTTTGTTTTGCAGCAGAAATCACCCTTCACGCTGCCTTTAAGCACAAAATAGCAGCCAATAAAAATGCATATTCAAAAATAAGGATCGTTATTGGTAATTATTTGTTGGAGCTCTCTCTTCCTTTCACACCAAACAGATTCGCTGGAGCCGACTGCAACAATTAGCATTTGAAAATGCTCTATGGCCATGGTTGTTGACTGAGCATGCATAATGAATAGTGTTTGACAGAAAAAAAAAACCTCTGAGAGCACAGCTGAGACTTCTGTAGCACCATGGCCTGATGATATGCATTGATTCTGCTGTACTAATTCACATTTGAATCACAGAATAACATTTCACTGCAAGCTGTCGGCCCTGTTAGCTCAGTCCCATGAAAGTATATCACATAGAGAAAAATAAAACAATATATTGTTGGTGCGATGCTGCAGCCAGCCAATAAAGCTTTCATCGCTTTAGAATTATAGTTTCATTTGGATGGCACAGAAATCATAAACCATCTGATGTTTGGGATGAACTCAGGATTGACAGGATTTAGAGGCAGCTAATAGACCAAAAGAGGCCGTAACCATCACCTTCACTGATCTAGGCTCCGTTAATGATATGAGTCACTATGTTTGCCTTGTGAATCAGTTTTGAAAGGTAATTCGGATGTCACTATTGTCACAGAGGTCTGGTTGGATATTGTAATGATGGGACATCTGTGTTTATTCTTTAGGTCAGCTCGTGGTTGCATTATTTTAGTCCAGACTTGCATCCAAGTGCATTATTAATAACAAGCTCACGAGACAGAGAGAGGCCCAAAACCATCAGATTTCATTTCAGTCGCTGCTCTCTGGGGGCGATCAAACTCCTTTTCAAATGTCTTTGTGTTTCCACCACTCTCATCCTCATGTTTTGCAGTTCAGAGACTATCTGACACAGTACTCAAAGATATAGATTTTCTCTTTTCTCTTGTAGTCATTCAGGGTCATTTCCTAAATGAGGATTACAGCAGCAGTGTTTGAAGTCACGGGCGGTGAGCTCTCAGTCTTGTTCATTGAGCTTTTGAACTGTTCAGAACTTCTGAAGCTCCTGAACCACAAAATAACTAAATACATAATTAGTATAAAGTATAATAAAGATTTATTTCCTTTAGAAGCATTTTGTCTCGTTTTCCATCAAATAAATATCTGAGCATGCTTAAAACAACTCTCACCGTTGGTTTTGGGTTTTGGTTTATGTTTTATTTTGTTTTGTTTTATTTGGTTTATGTTTTATTCTTTTATTTTGTCTTTTTCATGTGTTTCCCTTGCCCTTATGTAATCCTGGCCTGCGTTCAGCCCTGACAAAACGGTGCAAAACGCTTTTTAAACGGAAACGGTGGTGCGTTGAACACACTGTTCTGATGACGCAAGAGTTGCAACTACTGCAGCTGAGAAGGCCATTCTTTGTGTTCTTTTTGAAGAATTTTCGGAACCTGAAGAAATCGGTATAAATACGTGTTTAATACTGCAAAATATGCTCGATTTTACAGTCACTGCCCTTGCCGTTCAGAATAAAAGAGAACATCCCAATCGAGTGAAGGGATTTGTGGAAACTGTGGTTCCTAATTATTGTGATCCAACATTTGCCTCACATTTCAGGATGAAAAGACAAACATTTCAGCTGAAGGATAATCCACTTCTTACCTCCGAGACTGTGTTATGATCTATATGACCTTATTATTTTTATTGTGAGTATTAGGCTTATCATTATTGCTGATCACTGTTGTTGTGCTATGTTATTGTAATATTTACCATTATATAATCAGAGGAATATAGAAAAGTTTATGAAAGTGTCACTCCACAATACAATAGCAAAATATATAAATATGTATAGTATTTTTATGTTACATTAATCAGTGTCTAGCACACCTTCCTAAGGAAAGGATATGGACCAGAAGACATTGCAATTACTAAATGATATTTAGACAGACTTAAAGAAGTTCCAGATCTATACTTGTGCTCTTATTATTTCAGTTAGTTTGCCTTTAATGTAAATAAACATGTGCAAATAATATACTTGCTCTTGTGAATTTAATTACATTGTGCCAGCTGTCTCTTTAATACCGTGTGGTTTATATACATGTTGCTGCTGATTGGGATTGACATATTGACATTTTTGACACACCCAGCAAACAAGAAAAAACGTATCTCAGCACACCGTTTCCAGGAAACACGTCTTTCAAATCGGAAACCATAGCAAAACGTTGCGCACTGGTTTGAGCTTGAACTTGCCCCTGCTATTGGTTGTCTTGTTCATGTGTCTTGTTCTTGTTGGTTGATTTGGTCATGCGGTTCTTAGTTCTGTTTTTATTTTTGATTGGGTCCTTGTCTTGATTGTTCACAGGTGTTCCTTGTTTAGTCAGTCTTGTGTATAAATAGCCCTCATGTTGCCATTGTCTCTGGTCTAGTTTTGTTCCTTGTACCAAACAATAGTTTTGTTTGGCGAGTTGTGGTGATGATATGACTGACTGCCAATTGTGACTGACTGCCCATTTTAGTAAAGTGACGTGACATGTGGCCAAGTGTGGTGACCCATACTTGGAATTAGTGCTTTGCATTTAACCCATCTTAAGTGCACACACACAGCAGTGAACACACACACACCGTGAACACTAACCATTAGGCCACGACTTCCCCTTAAAGTCATATCATATCCCCTTAAAATGATATGATATGATATGACATGATATGATATGATATGATATGATATGATATATGTCATGGTATGTCATGTCATGTTTATTGCCAAGTTTAGCTCAAGTCATCATTTTGTTTGTTTATGGTTTGGATTTCAATAAACCGCACTTGGGTTCTCACTATGCTCGCCTCCAGTAGACAATTTATTACAGAAAGCTAGATCAGCTATAAACCCAGCATCTTGTCTATTGCACCTTTAACAAGTCATCCAGGCCATTGAGGACTATGTGGCGGATTTCTGTGAACTATGTTATCAAGTGGACTTTAATGACATTTTCCATTTTGGCCTAAAAAAAAATCTCAGTTAATGCCGCATCACACTCCTCACTGGACTCTAGCCTGGACTGTAGGACACAAGCTCCTGAGTATGCAGAGCTTGGGCTAAGACAGATAAGATTAATGGCTGGTGTAAGACTAATGGTGTAATGGATCCACCAATGATGTCGGTGTGAGCGGCTAACATCCCAGTGGCCTCAATGCTCTCAAAAACTGTGGCCTCAGTGCTGTCCAGCCTGGAGGTCCTGCCTCTGTCAGCTGTACTGCCCATTATGGTGGTTGCTATATTGTGTGTTGGGCTACACACTGCACTCCAGTCCATGAATCCGCTCCAGAGCCTGCTCCAATTCACGAGTCCGCTCCAGAGCCTACTCCAGTCCACGAATCCACTCCAGAGCCTTCTCCAGTCCATGAATCCACTCCAGTCCATGAGTCCGCTCCAGGGCTTTCTCTAGTCTATGAATCCACTCCAGAGCCCGCTCAAGCGCCTGAACTCACAGTCTGCCCTTTCCCGGGCCAGGAAGGCCATCCCTGGCCCACTGCTCCACGGCCCAGGACCACCACCATGCCATGATCCAGGTCCAGTTCCCCTGCACAGGCCTGGCCCTTCATCCCGCCCCCTGGGCCACATCCAGTTCTTCACCCTCCCGGACTCTTTGTTGGTTTTGGGTGGCTTGTTAGGGCATCGGGAGCCACCCTTAGTGGAGGAGGAGGAGGAGGAGGAGCGGGGGGTGGGTTTGAGGTTATGTCACAGCTGGTTTTGGGTTTTGGTGTATGTTCATGTTTTCATGTCTTTTATTTTGTCTTTTTCATAGTTATGGTTCCTGTCATGTGTTTCCCTTGCCCTTATGTAATCCTGCTACTGGTTGTCTTGTTCAAATTGGTTGATAGGAATTGTGGTTTTTAGGTCTGTTTTATTTTTTTATTTTTTTTATTTTTTTGATTGGGTTATTGTCTTGATTGTTCTCAGGTGTTCCTTATTTGGTCATTTAGTCTTGTGTATAAATAGCCCTTATGTTGCCATTGTCTTTTGTCTAGTTTTGTTCGTGTAACCTGCTGCTTTTGAGCTGTGTTTCGTCTTCAAGTTCTTGTCAAGTCAAGTCAAGTCAAGTCAAGTCAAGTCAAGCCAAGCCAAGCCAAGCCAAGCCAAGCCAGGCCAAGCCAAGGCAGGCCAGGAAAGGCCAGACCATGTTTTTGTTTATTGTGTATCTGCTCATTCTTGGATTTTAATCAACTGCACTTGGGTTTTCACTTCATTCGCCTCCAGTGGACATTTTGTTACAACAAAATAAATGTATTGGACAAGCAAAATACCTTAGTAATATCAATAATGCAAGAAAATCTTGCTGCATAAAATATTATTGCTTGTTTTTTAGAGAATATCTTGTTTGTTTGCCATCAGCAAATTGTGTTTTCTTGTTTAATAACGTAACTCTACTAAAAATGAATGAGGTATCCACTTCCAAAACAATTTGCCATTGATATATTCTCTCATGCAGAATTGCAAGAAAAAAGTCATGTGAGATTACAAAGTTTATTGTGAGAAATAGTTTATTTTTATTTTCTATTCCATGGCAACCAAAAAAACAAACCAACAATTGTGAGCTATAACATCAGAATTCAGGGAAAAATTGTCCGAATTGTGAGAACTCAGATTTGTGAGAAAACAAAATGCAATTACCTTTATTTATTTTATTCTGTGGCAGAAACAGGCTAACATAGGAAAGCATGACGAAAATACTGATTGAAAATCACTTTTGCAGTGTGGTCTCTGACCCATTTGAATGCAGGAGAGAGCTGATAGTAATGGGACTGTATTTTCGTACCTTGTTGAGTTTATCAGATAAAGGTGACATGGTATAATTGAGCTAAATGTGTAAAGACCCAACAGTTAATTCATTTTCAGGCTTTTTTTAACCTTATTCTCAACTCATTTCTCTCTCTCTCCATCTCTGTCTTTCACTCTCTCACACACACACACTCTGTTTTTCTCATTCTCTCTCTGTGACTGATATTGATTTTCAGTGTTGCTAGAAGACCATAAGCGCCTGCAGCAATTAGCACCCTGAACTCTAAAGATAGTTTATATGCAGTGTGCTATAAAAAAAAAAAGCAACCGCTAAACTCACATACCCACAACAAATCAAAATCAGTAAAGGTTCACACAGTGCACTTCACACAGATGTGTGGTCGTACTACAAGTGAATATTTGAAAGTGGCTTTTAATTTGTGCTAAATAAATATCAGATAGTCTATGACTGGCTGAATGCATAAACTTGCAAAAATGTCATTGTAAATTCTAAGCTGTCAGAATGTGATTGTAATTTGTTTTCTAATCTGTCAGAATGTAGTTTCGTCTGCTCTGAAATGGAACATACTGGACTTTTAAAGCTTCTCACTCTGAGCAGCAGTTATTTTAGTCCATCATAACAGATCAGCTGCCTTTCTCTATGCTAGGCTTGAGCTTGCTATTGATTCCTTTAAATCAATACATGCTGCACAATCATAAAAATAATAGTGTTAGAAGCACAGAGGGTGATAGTTCATTTTTGGCCTTCATATGCATTTGCTAAAATGGTACAAACCACTGACCACCAGGGCTGAGATTTAGTCTAGCGTGAATGAAAAAAGCAGAGTAGAAATGTATGCATTTCATTGCAGAGCTCAGTGGGGGAAAAATCTATTTATTTAAGATTTTCTTGTACATCTATTATGTAGGGGAGACCAGGGAGTGTTGTAACACATTTTGTTTCAACGTCTGTAAGTCAGTTTTATTTTATTTTATTTATTTGGATGTGCTTGCTTTTGCACCTCAAGCTCTGGTATAATATTCTCATATTTCTCTGCTACATATTAAAGTATGAAGCAGAGCCCAACAGCTTCATAAACTCTATAAATTACACTTACAAAAAAGAAAAGAAAACAATACAACAACAACATGGCACTGTACAACTATGGTAATGGACACAGTAGGAAACCATTTAAAATTATGGTATTCTTAAAAGTACATTTGGGTACCCTGTAAATATCATGGTCTAAACCAATCAAATGTTTGGGGAATTCTTTTTTTAATGGCTGCTTTTATTCAGTAAGGACATTAAATTGATCAAAAGTGATGTACTTTATATGTCACTTCCTGTTTGTTGCTGCCGTGTGGTTTGAGTTCCGTCAAGTTAATTCTTTGTCGTCCCATTTTTTATCTTAAAATCAATTTTATACACCATCCTTTTTCAGTTCTATAACGTGTGAATATATCCCCTATCGTATTCTACAACAAAAACAATCAGAGCGCCTTGTTAGCACTAGTTCTATTTTTGACTTCCGAGTGCGCTATTAGCATATAGCCCGCTAGCATCGCCAGCGTGGTTGCCGCTAATCTCGCTTACACTAATACTCTATTCACACATTACCATTGTTTTACTCACTGTTACTTGCTTTAATGGCGGATGTGTGTCTACCTTTGAGTGCAGGTGAGCTCGAGCTGGAGGCCGTGGAGAAGCAGATCTGGGACCTGGTGGCAAAGCAGACCCAGCTGAGAGCGCGGAGAGCCGCGCTGGAAACATCCCAGGCTGACGCTCACAAGTCCGAGGTAAGTATACAGCGCGCTGCTAACTCTCCCACCACCTCTACTCCGCATGTTTCTCTGCACAGGCCCGGTGCACCCAGGACGCGATCTTCCCAGATGTCCTTCACTCCGGCGCCGGGACACCACGGACCCTGGGTGCAGCCGCA